TGGTTTAAAACAACAGCAGTTCATCTCATCTCAAGTGCTTCACGTTTGTGTCAATATTCAGTTCACTAAAACTATTTTGTGATAATCTACTGGATAATGTTTCCCACTTACGAAAGATAAGCAAGAAGAATCATAACCTGAAATCTTAAAACTTAGTACACGTAAGACAATCAGCAGAAACTTTACATGAGCCTAAGACATAATTATGATCATGGATACTGAAAACTTTTTCTTCATATCCCAGCTGAAGCTTCATTTAGAGTGGCCTCCCCCAACCTGACGCCTTATTTATTTATAGAAAAAAAAATAATAAGGTTAAGTTTGCTCTAGTTTACATATTTTTCAACTATCCAAACAAATTGTTTGGGGAAAAATCTATCCCATAGGAAAGTTAGAAATGTCTCTACAAGATCTGAAAGCTTATAAATAAATCATAACCAGATGAAAGTATTTAGCATCAAATAAGAATGGTTACTTGTACACTTTTGGGGGGGAAATGAAATAATAAATCTGCAAAAATACATCTACCATTACATTATCATCATTCACATTCAGTAATATATGTAGTCCTGGAAGTCTTTTCACTGGAACAGTCCTCCTGAATGTATACATACTGTTTAGAAAAGCTCATAAAATGTTTTGTTAAACAAAAAGAAAATATTGACTTGATTTTTTAAAATTTGTAGATGGATGCTGCCACTCCATGACCCCACCACTTACCTAATTAGCACTGTTTTGAAATGCTGAGTCCTGGCAACATCAAAGCTATGCAAATAGGAGGCTGCAGGCTAGGGGATTAACACTTGCTTCACATGCAGAAGGTTCCAAATTCAATACATGCTACTTCCAGTTAACCTTGAAAGAACTCCTGCCTGAAACCTGGAAAACTGTTGAAAATGATTACTAACAATACTGGGCTAACCTTGCCCAACCATCTGACAGAATAAAAGGCTGCTTCTTTTATTCCAAGGTGCAGTTTTGGCATTTGGCTGTTAGTTCCAGATGTGAAGTCAAGGCTGAGTGCATCTCTTATGCTAAGTGAATTCTTATTCAATGAGAGTCATGACACTTAAAGAGATCTAAGATTGTTGTCCTGAATAGGAATGTGCTATAGAAAGAAGACACAGAATTTTAACCTTTCTACAGTGAAACATGAGGTAGAGGACATTACATCAGTTCCCTTGAGAGTATATATTTTTTAATCCTTAGGCAATCCTATTCAACTTGATTTGAACTAACTTTTGTTGCTAATATAAGAGCCCAACTTATATGCCTTTTTATTCTCATGAAGTTAGTTTAGTTTTGACTTTGGGGTGAGGTATGGCGAACTGCAGACAATGACCATGGCAAAGACCAAGGAACTATTGAGTAGACCAGTTCCTTGGAACCTCTCCAGATAAAGAGAGGACTTGAGATTGCCCACATGTTCTCTGGATGGCTGCTTCTCACAAGGAAACCACAGGACAGTGGTTTTCTGTGGGTTTGAGCACTAGGAGATGACAGGATAAGCCCTCTTGTTTGCAACCATGGTGGAGCCTTTGAAAGCACACTAAGTTTGCAAACCTCACTTTCTAATCACTTTCAAAAATTGCCTGTTAACCATCTAAAAGCTACCAGAGACCTTCAGAATGACAAGTTTGAAAAGTCTTTACCAGGTGAGTTATCTTCAACTTCAAACAAAAGAAAAATTAATTATAAGTTTTAAGAACTTAAAGAATTTGAAATAAACATCAAAAAGCTAAATAATATTTTGATCTAAGAAAGAAATCCATAAACAGATTAAAGGTCCATATGAATTTGGAATATTGACTTTTAATATAAGATTTTGGAATTAACTATAAAAAATAAACAGCTTCTTGTGGGAAACAGACCTATTTACCTATCCTGGCTAAGTAAATCATAAGAAAGAGAGGTGATGATTTTAGAAATGGGACACTAGAGGGGACTAAAGATTCTAAGCAGAAAAAAAAAGCCTGTTCTTGATGTCAGTTAATACTGGGACTTACAAAATGACACAAAATGTTATAACTTCAGAAATATTAAAGGAGATCTTTGAAGAATGGAGCTGGCAATTAGTAACTACAACAACAGTGTCAGTAATGATGTCTGCTTCTATGGATAGACTAAGTCTAAAAGTTGTTAATAAAGAATGACAGGCCAAGAGAATGATCTGGGAACGTATGCTTTATTGGGTATACAAAAGAAACTGGGTGAAGTTTTAAAAATTAAAGGGGAAATAACAAATGATAAACAAAGAGAATGACCTGGAAAATGTTTTCTTATTGGATCTAGAGAAGAGGCTTATTAAAGCCTTGAGGAAATCTGTACAATGGGATAAAGAAGAATTGAAGAGAAATCATATCCTATGACAATATTTGATTGAATTAAAGATTAAGGCTGATGGAAGTAAAAGAAAGGAATATAAAGTTGGTTTATTTGATCAAGGTGAAAATAGAACATTTTTTGCACAGTTTTGGTAACCCTTTATCGCCTTTTTGCTGACACCAGA